GACACACTTTTATTATACTCGTGCTGAATAAGTTCGCGTTACACGCAAAAATAAAGTGCTATAATGATCGTAATTCCAATTAAATTAAAACTTGTATAAATTTAAAGGGATTGAAAACGGTTGGTTTATCAAGGACGTGGAATTTGCATTTGAAAGATATAACGGGTTTTTAATATAACTGCGGTTGCGGCAATCCCTTTTTTTTTTGCCAATTTAACCATCGAATTAACTTTTAAAGGCATAACGTTTTTATAAAACAATTCCAAGTATATACAACTCGATTTATCTTTAAACATTTTAATGAGATCCTATCACGGTCTAAATAAGAAATGGTTATTTCACATTTAGCGCTACTGTTATATGATTTTGGTTAAAACTTGAAACAGTACTACGTTTTATAATCTTACAAGTTTGTAAGAAAACAAAAAAGATGTTAAAATATTTGTTAGTATTTGACTCGATAACCCATTTGTCTAATATATAGGTAATATATCTGTACAATGGGTCTATCTAAAAAAGCCAACCTCGTATGTTTTTAATTTTTGTCTAATGATCTTTTAAACCATTTATTTTCCCCATAAGGCTCTATGATTTTTCATAACATGTTCAATTTTTATCATGAGAATGCCGTTTTTTTTACACAATTTATAGATTTTTGTAATTTACATGATTGTGATTCTAACCCATTTTTACGCGACCATGAAAGAAAGAGGGTAAATAACAATATTATACATTAGCCTTTTTAAATCCTAGGTATAAAAATAATTATACACACATTATTTACGTGTATACTTTTTTTTAAACGGGTCCGAATAAAATAATAGTTAAGCTGAAATAATGAAAGCACTTTTTCCATTTTGCATTGAAGTTAATAAAAATATTATAATTGTGTTAAAACATAGCACTGGAACCTTAGCGGGACCCAAAACAATTAGCATAAAGATAAATGTACGTATTTAAATTAGAAATTTGTATTGTATAATTTAAAGACCGGTTTATTCGCTTACCTTGTTAATAAACTAACGCTGATACTATTTAATCAAATTTGAACCTAAAATTAAGATGCATTAAGAGGCGGCCCTGTTATTTTGCTTGTATACCTCGAGTTGAATTAACTGTACTTGCAGATTTCGGTAAGTCAATTGCGAGGGACTTCGCGGATTAAATGACATATTTGTTAAGTCCACCATAATTAAACCGCACGTGTGTGGTCAGTAATACTATTACTAAGGTCTGGTCCAACCGGAATTCAATGATTTTTATTACTACGTATACTATACTTGAAATGCATATATTATATCTTCCTTTATCCCCAACAACAACACATTATTATCTGTTCTACCGTTTTCCCGTTTTAAGTTTATTTTTATTGTCTGTGTTCCCGCCCATATATTCGCAGTGGACGATTGTAAAGAGCCAAGAGTTCGGCGACAAATTGAATAATGGATAATAATTCCAGAATGGGGAACAGAGTAATTGTTTAGTATTTCACGCAGCTTGTTTGTGTGTGTGTGTATGAGCACGTTTATGTTATAACCACTAAACGCACGAAGAGGGCAAATATATATACAGGGTGACCATTTTATCGTGAACCGCTTAATATCTCGTAGGGTTTAATAAGAAATTTAATTGTTCATAATGTTGTGTTTGGTACGCATAATTAGTTCATAATGGCAACGCACACATTTCGTTGTATTTTTAAATCGAGACTAATGTAATAAAAATGTTGACTAGTCGATATGACCGATTTTAAATAACTATTTTTAAAGTTATAAGGCTTAAAAATGATGATGATGGGAAGGGAAGTGCACGCAGATAAAAATAACACTACACTCCACCTTTACTCCTGCCCAAAATTTGAAACTTCGAAAAATACCGACCAGTCAAAATGTTTAGTACATTATTCTCAGTTTAAAAAGTTAATGAAATGTATGCGGTACCATTTAAGTTTCAAAAGTTGCTATCGAAAAAACTAAGTTGGGAGGGAGTTAAAAATAAAAAATTGTGAAAAATCGAGATCGTATAAAAACAATATGAAAAATAAAAATACCATTTCTTATTAAACCCTATGAGATTTTCAGCGGTTTTCGATAAAATGATCACCCTGTATACATTCATTATACATACACACTGTCATAGCCGTTTGTTAATAAGGGTATGGGAATTGATAATGGCCGGGTGTATTTTTAATTTGGTGGGGGGGGGGGGTAGATTTTGTGCCCTTCGGTGAAAAAGCAGTGACCGGCAACGTTTTAATATGATTACTAAAATAATACAGTATGTTATCGGTTAAACGTCAAGGCTGCACCATGTTACCCCAGAGCTCGTGGTACACGCGAGTCTGACGAAAATCTGCCATGCGTAAGTAGTGGGTGTAAAGTAAATGGTCTTATCCATATTTTACAGTCTAAGTATGTAATCGCGCAGCGAATAAGCGTCATGCTCCGGATGTCATGAGAGACTATAATATACTATACTGCCGCCGGCACTGTCAGCGTAATTGTGAATTCAATTTTACTTCACTCGAATGCTGTGAGCCGATTATTATCTCTTTTGCACTTTAAAATACCGAAATTCTAGAAAATAAAAAAAAACTACTATAGTATGTGCACGAAGTTAGTTTAAAATTGGCTGCTACCGACAACCTCTGCCAGGTTAAGTAACTGGAATATTTTACGTGGCTTAACGGTAATATTTTTACAGTTTTTTTTACGGCCCTCCCCTTTTTGATCTTAAAAAAACTCCTTAAATTTATTCTACGAATATATGTTTTTTAATTTTGGTTATACCTATTTGCACATCCTATTATGGATTTTGTTTTATTTTAACTACACATTTGTATCATTTGATTGTTGAAAAGTCGAATGCAACAGTACAACTTGAGTAATTGCCTTAGAAAAAAAATACCTAGAGTAATGTACATTCATTGTGTGTTATCAGGAGCATTTAACTGATATTACAAAATCACAGTTCTTCTAAAAGAAATGAAAAATAAAACTTTGAATATAAATTTACGGAGGTTTTAGTTAACATCACGTCTTTAGGTTTCGTTCACGTGGAATATAACAGCTATATTCTAAGCTATTGAAAGAGCGTTGAAATGTTTTTATACACTTTTATATCAACTGAGACAGCCGTGCTTAAGTAAAGCCGTAAGTAATAGTTTTGGAAAACACATCAAAAACAAACATTTATTGAAGTGACAAGAGAGCCGTGTTAGTTATGACGTCTTTCTTTAGGAAGCATGACGTCAAACTTGAGACGTTTGTGACTAAACAACATTAAGGATTCTGTCATCAGATTGGCGGCTACTGGGAAAATTCCATTATCTATAGAATTCAATTTCGCTTTTCATAAAAACCATATTATGTTTCATTTAAGTCGCTGTCATCTGAAATAACACAATTTGATATCTATTAGAGAAAATAACGTTTGAATATTTATTTGAAATAACTACATTAAAGGTTAAAGCGCTATTTATTAAGGGGCAAATGATAGGCAATATTTTACAAAAATTTATCTAATAGTAATTTTTCATATGCCTACTATTTTCAAGGTGAACACATTTTCTAATTATGATATTTAAAAAGTTATTTTTCTCCGTGTTATGACGAAAGTTTGATAAAAAATTACTTTCGTAGAAGTCATTTTCTAGCGTATCTATTGGATAGATTTCAAGTTTTTTTTTTTATGCGAAGCTTACTATTTTTTCTATGGGGGCTAAAAGACCGATTTTTGATTTAGCGATTAAAAAACTAGTTAGATGTATTAGAAAAAACTATAAAAAAAGTAAAAATAAAAATGCTTATAAATATTTTTTTAAGACAAAAATAAAAAATGAGCCTTTTATCCCCCATAGAGATGATGTTAAACTATAAAACAAACAAAAAATTATTGAAATCGGTTCGATAGACACTTCAGAAAGTGACTCCGCGTTTTAGTCTTTATTTGTAAAAAAATTGACGCTTTCCGTTCCCCTTAAGATGATTTATAAGCGATCATTTGATTAGTAATGAAGTGGTGAAAACCAAAATATACATGAGTTTTTAAAAAATTGTACAGGAGTCAAATTCAAAATGATACTTTCAATGTGTTCTAACAGAATCAAATTCTGTTGTTAACTCGCTTACCACCAAAATCGCATCGATGATATGTACCGTTTAAAACAATTCATAGTTTGAATTAAATATTAGGTACATTTTCATTAATTTTAAACAAATAACACTACCTACTACTACTACTACTACTACTACTCATAAGTAAAAAATGTATTTTAATTTTTAATCAAAGTTGATTCGAAGTCCATTACAGCGTTTTCCGCGTTAATAATACTACAAGGCATGATTGCAGTCGCTGCTGTCTGTATTGATTTCCATTATATCGTCTTTGCACTTTGGCTGTAATATTATAAATGGTTAGGCCGCGTTCAAGTGCACTTAATGCTGTGGCTGCAGTCGTGCACGTCGGGCGCGTGGGAGATACATTGGCAGCGGGGAGCCCATTCAATTTTGATTAATCGGTCGATGCAATATTTACATCGTCGGGCACCGAACTGTTCGGTACGGCTCGCGGCGGAGGGTTGTCGGCGGTGGGACAATTAGCGGGATAGGTTTTTAAAAACAGACAACAAACACGCGTATATTGTGTTATCTATATAGTGTGTAATGTAGAAGACGAGGGTGGCGGCGGCGCAAATAGCTGTTGCTACCGGGCATGTTTTATAGGTACCCCGAAGGGTACGAGTTTGGGTAGGGGTTGTGGGAGGCGCTTAACCGGTACCGGGTGGGGACGAGGAACTCGACCCTCCGACCCGAGGTCCGACCTACCGGTTCGTCAGTGCCTTCCAGCCGCAGACCCTTTGAAGACGTTAACGCTGGCCGACCAGTTCTCGAACAGAGTTTTGCGGCGTGCGCGTTTACTAGTGTTTGTGCGAGTACGAAAACAACCTCTGAACACCGCGTTAACCCTCTTCGTACGCTATGGACCACTCTTCACTGATGATGACCACATCCGCCGGTGCGGGAAGCAACAAGAAAGTCATGTCCCGGTCGTTTTTGATCGACTCGTTAATTGGCGGAGGAGCCGGTGGTGTCGGAATCAAGCAGCAGCCCGTAGCTTCTATCGGTCACGGGGTCGCCACGTCAGCCGTGCCTTATCACCCTCAGTTAAACGAGTACTTGCAGTTTCTTAATAGGACTGCGGCAGCCGTATACCGGTATCAGCATCAGCAACAACCTAGCTTGTTCGCGCCAAGATCCATGTCGCCGCTTTACGGTGGATTCCCGGCCACCGCTAGGTTCAAGAGCGCCGAAGACCATCACACCGTAAGTCAGCATCGACAAGACCGACAGACGACGGGCAACGGCCCGGTGAGACCGGTACCGCAATTGGCGCAAAAAGCAAAACACCAAGTCAAAGTCCAACGGACAGCGGCTGCCAAAAAGCGAACCATCGACGAGGTTAAATGCGAAACAGGTAATTACTTTGTTTTACATATCGCATCAAGTAAACATATTACAATAGGTACTATTATCGACTGGTTTTCCCAATTAGTTTTTTAATCAGGAATCTGAATTTTGTAAAAACATTTTTAAGGTTTTTTGAGGGCGGCTAAATTGCTTTTAACGATGAACTAATTATGCCGTTGTTTAATTATTGGGATCGGCTTAGCTGTGTAGGCAGTTTTTGCACACTTTCGCCATTTCGGTAACCGCCTAGTAAACAATAGAACCCGACTAGTAAAAAAGTACAATACAGGCTTTAAATGTGAAAGAAACACGGTGTAAAGAAAAGTGTCTGTGTACAACACAAGTGGCTAAATGAGAAATGTATTTAGTTATTTAGAAACATACTTGTTAAAAATAATTCAAAAATAATTGCAACCTTACTGAATTTAATAATTTTTTTAACAACAAAACTTATCATTTATAATTCAATAAATTCATAGTAGTCTTAACGATTAGTTTTAATAAAAATTTAATTATCTCCCTCTTGGTAATTAAAAATTTAAGTAATGGTTCACGAAAAAGAATGTGCATGATAGTATAAGAACGTTTCAACCGTAATCTTTTTCTATAGCCTGTTCTTATTATTATTTTTTTTTCTGAAAACAACAGATTTTTCGAAAATTTAATTAAATACAAACATCAACCTCTAACATAGCTAAATTACACCTTTTTTTATTTATGCTAACTTGCTAAAGTTTATGTGTTTTACGATTAATCGCACTCTAAGTGTAATTACGAGATATATACGGGATAATTTTCAATGTGGTTGATTGGGTACCAGCCATGAAAAATAATCGTTTCTTAAGTTAAAATTATTTTTTAAATTAGCCTGATAAAAAATGTGTAGTAATATGATTTTAAATATTTTTTCTTAGCACTATTCATTTACATTTGTACCTTAATTTTTAAATATTTTTAGTCGAAAAATAAATATGACCAATCACTATTTTATAACAGAGTGAAGTGGGGTAACTGCATTTAAATGGATCAAATCAACGGACAAATTTTATATATAAATAATTTTTTCTTATGTATTAAACGTTATAACACTTGAACATCAGGTTGTCTATTTTGAACGCCATACGAACTTTTTCATACTCCATGTATAACACAAATGTAATGCAGTTCATACGTACGAAAACGTTTGTAAGATGTTTATAATAGTCCCTGAAGGTTGGAAATGTTTAGTTCAAATTAAACATTTCAACTATTACTTTAGAAAATTTAGCACTCGACCCAATTAAGTTACAGCTATCTACTTTACCATATGAAAAAAAAAATGTAAGACTATATGCCGTTTGAAAATCAATAGTTGACGAACTGAAAGAGAATAACAATTTGGGAATTGGGATGGCTCCGTGTCGGGAAGTTTATGAAAAGGAAATAAGCACAGATTAATTGAACTAATCCACTCCACTCTACTTTAATTGCCGGGGCTTGTCAACTTGCTGTATTTTATTAGATAATTTAATTTGACTTGTGTAATGCGTACGTACTTATTATGTTTTCTTTTATGTTTTTTTAGAAAGTCCCTTTGTGGATCCTTTGCGAGAGGCTGGGGTGGAAAGCGACACGGATTCCGGTAGTTCGAAACGGATCAGGACCGCTTTCACCAGCAATCAACTGCTAGAACTGGAACGGGAGTTCTCCAGCAACATGTACTTGTCCCGGCTGAGGCGCATCGAGATCGCCAACTGTTTGCGGTTGTCCGAAAAACAAGTGAAGATTTGGTTCCAAAACAGGCGGGTCAAGCACAAGAAAGAGGACGGACCTACGACGGCCGCGACCAACAGATCTATATCGTGCTGCACTTGCCCAAAATCATGTCACCAATCGCCTACCGCATCCGGCGAAACCGGTTGTCAGCGCACCGGCGAAAGCGATGACCGCCATCAGCTGCTGAACCGAGACGGTGACCATTTCGACTAGACGTGTTGTCGCCAACGCTTAATTATTTGACTGATAACGTTTACCGTTAAGAGTTTGGCTGTGATGGGTATACCGGTTGCGGTGTTTGGACTGAAAGTGTACCCGAAAATCCAATACATAGTATAACTCTTTTTTTAAATACCGAAAAGACTATATTATAAAACGACATTTGACCGAATTTTCGTTTAAACGATCTGAAGTTTTATCGAGGGGAAAAGTGTGTTGCACTTCTAAAACATTACAGTATTAATTATTGAGGAAGACGGACGGGTCGCGCGTATTGCACGCGTCCTCTCGACGCGACGGCTGTTGTGGCGCTTAGGCCGCCCAAGATTTTCGCACGACCGAGCAAGGGTTGATTTATGTGACTTCTCGGTAAACCGTGTTCATTTCCTACGGGGATTTGCTTGTCCGACCGGCTTTGTTATGATAACACCATAGCGTACACACGTATACCCGACAATTGCCGGCCGTCACATTGTTTTATTGCGTACGGCACATGAGAAATATTAATACACATTACACTTCATTTTACACTTTTCCTCCGTGTACTGCCATCGTGGTGACGTTTTTTTTTATGAAATTTAATTCCCGTGTCTCGTATGTATTTTTTTATAAAACGATCTGTATACCTTCGAAAAAAAAATACTCGATTTGTATTTTGTATAATATGTTGTCTAAAACTCTTTTAGGAATAATATTATTATAATACATCCAATAGAACGATAGGTCGCGTAGGTTTGTAGTTCCTTTTATTACGACATACATTTAATTTTTTATCTCAATATTTATATTATAAGTACAAAATAATTATTATCAAAATTACATAAACAGTTATAGACCAAAAAAAAAAGAGTATCTGGTAATTATAACACAAATTATACATAAAGTTGTTTAAAACAGAAATATTATGATAACATTATGAAGTTTATTATTGTATTGACATATTTTTTGATTATTTTTATTATTTCATAAATATTTTTTTTGGTGAATTGGAGTCTAAATAGTACGACCGCTACAATGTCAAAGTAAAAATAATATTATATTAATTGAGTGGTTTTAACCAACTGAAGTTAAAATTATACATCGTTGTATAAACTTTAAAAAAAAATGTTATTTTTCTACTTAATATTGTTCAGTTATATGTCTACTTGCTTTACTATTTAATTTCAATTACTCACTTAACTGTACTTAATGAGATAATTTAAATGGTAAAATTATAAACAAAAGAGACATGTCTCTTTCTTCCCACTACCGCTATAAAGGATACCCTTGAATATATTATTATCATATTATACTATTATTATATTGTTAATTTTAATGAAAATGTATTTTTTTTTCTGTAACATTTTTTATTTTCTATATAAAACTTGATACTTACATTAATGTAATGATATAATTATTCACTGTTTCGTGACAATATAATTTATATTTTTGAGTATCAAATTATTTATCTTTTTTTTTTTATCGGTCTTTGACCGAAATGACCTATAAAATATTGTTTACGTTGTCGACACGCAGTTAAGATCCACCGAAAGTATATTGTTCTTGTCCCCCCTTCGTTTGCATCCAATTCTTTAACCACGCGCCATCAAAACAGGGCGCTGCCTTCTCCTTAATCGTATTACGTACCCGGCCTCGGAAATCGAATAAGACCCAAAAATACTATTTGTCCCTGGAGACGTGACAACCGACATCAGTTCGTTATCAGAATATTATATTACACCCACTACATAATATAATATATTATAGTATGAAAGTGAGTTTGTTATGAAATAACACCGTGGTATGAAATTTTATCAAAATTATTTCTACCTCTAATATCGTTGTTATATGGCATAAAAAGATAGGAGTATGATAATACCTATGAAAAGTGTATATAACACAGCTAGCAGTGATGGATTTTACACAGCAAACCCGGACATTTGCGAAGTGCGACCTTATATCTGTGTGGCACCCTGGCCCAAACCCCACAAATTATTTGTTTAATTCGATTTTTGTAAAAGACAAGTCGAGCTATTATAACAAATATTCCTAATGTAAAAATGTATATAAAATAATCATTTTATGCGCAGAAAGAAAAATGATTTAAACTAACAATTTTAGGAATTTGTAGAATAAAAACAGGGCTAATGCGAATGAATATTATAGATAGATACTGTGACTGTACTAAATCGACAAATTGTTCATAAGAAAATATGGGAAAATATTATTTACGCTTAAACGTACCAATTTTTCCATAGATCAAATAATTTTTTTTCAACGAAATTTTAAAGTAGGTTTTTTAGTATTCTTTTACTAAACTATTAAAAATGAACGGATTGAGTAATAAAAAATTAAAAAACGCTTAAGCACAGTTAAAGATCTTTTCTATTTACTATGAACATTTGCAGATGACTTAGTAACAATAATTCCAATACGTTTTGGTTTTGACTAGCCTAAAATTATTTTGGTGGAAAAATTGTAATTTTGTCTACAGAAATGAATGTGATGGTCTGTCAAAATAAAAAAGTAACTAATAAAAATTCCTCATTACTATAGTTTAGGATCTGAATTAAGATTTTGCGAAAAATTTATTATAAGCAGTTATGTTATTGGCCCTTTTGTTATATTTTAGAACTAGGCCCTATTTCTTTCAATTCACCACTGATTCTAATAATTTTAAAAGTAATGATGCATAACTGGTTATCGACTAGTCGACATTTTTTTTTATTTCTGATCAATGATACCCATTTATTTATTTATCTATCCATAACTGTGTGTTTAAATTGAATGATGGGTACTATGATTCTACATTTTAAAATAAACTTTTTTTTTCAGTGATAATTTCGATAGTAAAAATTCGGTGTTGAAACTTATAACGTTATTATTGTTTGTATTCAGCTACGGTATTTCTATAAGATGTTTATAACTGATATTTAGTAGTTATAAACATTTAAAACAAAATTATTTTAAAGTTGTATTGTCATATCCTGAGTTATTATTTGAATAAATTGTTATTACAATGACTATTATTTACTTGGCAAAAAAAAATGTTTTTTATATCATAATATATAATACTATTTAGAAGTAGGAGTGGAGTTGGATTAGGAAGATTTAATTCAATTGAGGAATCTAAATAAATAATTTATTCCTATTGAGCTATAATGTGCATATAAAAAAAAAGGTTTATACGTGCACCTAATTCCTGGATTAACTTAATACGCATTAAGTTTGTTTTCTCAAATTAACAATTGCATATGTTAACCTAAATGTGAAATGCGAATGCGTATTAGGTTAATGCGATTTGACGTCAACAGGTAAACATACGTTGTAGACAAGCTTTTAACTTATTCCGATTAAGTAAAGTCGGTATAAGCCACGCGTGTATACGTAGTAATGGAAAATGCATAACAATTTCTTACACCATATTATAAACAACATTTTGTATTCATTAATACATCGAAAATAATTATTATAATTTCTAAAGCTCCATTAAAACACATTCCTACAAAATCATGCGATTAAATTTAATTTTTTTAAATTTGTATACATTAGACTTCATATTAAATTAGTGAAATAAGCCACTTTGTTGCCCTTTATAAAGTTTCTAATATTATATTATATATTAATAAATTATACTTTATTTACATATACCACATATGCAATTTGTGTAATTATATTTTAATAATTAGTATTGTATTTAACGGACTGCTTAAAAATATGTTTACACTTTACACATAAGTAATAAATAATATTTGTCTTCATCATTGCTCACTTGTATCCAATAAGCTAACAGCCAAAAGAAATATTAAGTTTAATTACTGTAGTAATAAAAAATAAATATTAATCATCAAGTGTATTAAATATTATCATCTCATACTAATTCCTATGTATTTACTCTATTAATTTATGATAGAGAGCAACTATGTAATTTTATATAGGTATAAAATATATATATATAATATATTTTATAAATGTATATAGGTATATTCTGTATACAAGTTCTTGGTTATTTGAATGTAACCATTAAAATATCAGCAATATACAGTTTAGAGCCAAATGAGTTCTAACCAATTCTCTGGGGACATTATAAAATATGCTTCCACGTAGTATCAATAACTGTACCAGAGAGAGAGAGAAACACTTTAGGTATTTAAACAGTATTTGCACACCACTAATTACAAAATTTAACAAATGAAAGGAAGACTACTGAGGAAATATGATAATAATTAATTAAAACGGACCGTGCTGACACGATGTGATATACCAAAGTAGCGTGTGTAGTGTTTACTTACTATGATATGTTTACATAAATTATGATGTATGCATTTAGACTTAAGACAAAGTTAGTATTAATAAAAGTAATGCGACAAACGGCTTAGGGGCCAAAACATTTATTAAGACTTAAAGTTAACATTATAGCGTACAAAATTCGTCTGACTTCTGACTGAAAATCGAAGAATAAAACAAAATAACCATATTAAACAGAGCTATTGAATTAATATTATTTAGCATTTAACTAAGCTTTGTATTAATGTGTTTTAAGAGCTTTGACAGTTGTTGAAATTATACTCGTATTCTTATACCATTACAGTCTTGATATTTTTTAAACTAAATTTAAAATTAAACATTTTAAAATAAATATAAATAATACCGTTTAGTATAAACTCAATGGTAATACCTGTAAAGTAAAAAATAAAGAAAGGCGTCCCATATTATATTATGATACCCTATGGCTGAAAAGGTTGAGTTACATCTGAAATTCGGATTAAAACTAACTCCGGGAATTTGCATGTAAATCGATAAAACAGTTTTAACCGAGTCGGGTTGTATTAACCTGAAAACAGAATAATTTTTAAGCTAGGTGTACCAATATTTTTAAGTTATACTTCTAAAACAGATACATATCCCTAGTGTCGTAGTATTATTTCATTTGTTTGCTTTTTATTTCCATATTTTATACATATTTTGCCGTTTCTTGTTAGTAATAAATGTGTTTAATTTTTTTAACTTGGAAA